AAAAAAAAAACCCTCAAGTCCTCTGAAACTTCCACAAAAGAAACACAGAGATAAAGAGAAAAAGAAAAAAAGAGGCTAATAGCACAAGAAAATTAAAAAAAAAAAATAATAATAAAATAATAAATTACACTCATTGCACAAATATTACAACACTTGTAGTACTACGCCTCTAGAAGTATTTATAGAGAGGTGCCGAAAAAATGGATGGATATTAAAATCAAATGCATTTTTTTTTTTTTTTTTTTTATGAAAGAATTTACCTCTCTACAGCCAATTATAATGATCACAATAATAATAATACTAATTAAACCAAATAAAAATACAACAAAAGAAAAATAACACAATCGATGAAAAAAGAGAGGAGAAAAAAAAAAAAAAATAGATGGCGAATGACAAAACAAAAAGAAAAAAGAAAAATAACATCTTCACATATTATGCCTTTTTAAGATTTTTCTGTCGTTCATATATACGTTCATCGTTAGTTGACAATTCGTGATCAAAACTTGAAAGGAGTAATTCATTTAGATTTACTGGTGCTGTTGCGCAATTCATAACAAAATCATCATCAAAGCGATTACTATGCAACTTCTTATGTCTACAATAGAGGAATACTAAAACCCCTACTGCAATCAATACAACCACAACAACAATGACAACTACAACAATGACAACAGTAGTTTTATTGCTGTCGTCATTATTTGGGGGTACTACAGGTAATTTATATACTGCGCTATTTACACCAGGAATACGTCCATTGTTAGAAGCATTAAAAGCTTCTTGTGCTCTTTTTTCTAATTCAAATGCGATTCGAATCCATGGTTTTGGAGCATCCTCATATGCCTCCATTGCTACTTGTATACCCTTCCATAGTATCTCGTTAAGTGACTTCTCCAGAGCATCAGAAGTTAAATTATTTGTAACCTCAAAAAATACGTTAACCCAGTCATGTTGGGGTGTTGGGGTTATCTCAGGTGTAATCGTTATATTGTCATTAGAACTATCACCGTGTTCGGGTGTATATAAAGTAACTGTGTGGGAAGGCATTACTTCCTTGGAAAGAGTAGTGGTGGCTGTCATCGACATGGAAGAGGAGGGTTCTGGTGGATGAGGATGAGGAAGAGAAATTGTAAGGGTGTAAGTCTTAGTGGCGGTTAACTCTGCTGAATGGGTGATGGCTAAACCCTTTTCACTCTCTCCAGCAACACAGACCGTTAGGCCCAGAAGAAATATAAATAATAATAAACTGGAGAATAGTGTCATGACTACCCCGTGCTTTCAAATAATTTAATATGAGAAAGAAGAAGAAGAAGAAGAAAAGAAAAAGAAAAGAAGAAATAAGAGAATAAAAGAATAAGAATTATAAAATAAATAAATAAATAAATAAATAAATAAACTTACCTGTATAGAGAAAGTGTTCAAGAATAAAGAAATAAAGATGAATGCTGCCTATTTGAAGCGTTAACAACAAACACAACAACAACAATAATAATAATAATAACAATAACAATAATAATAATAACAGCAGTCGTTATCACCATGAATACAAGACAAGCGTAACCATATTCACATCAAACAATACAGAGTCAGAAGGGGAAGAAAAAAAAAAAAAAACAAAACAAAAAAAAAAAACAATCGGCAACACTTCGTTGCAACTTCCAAAAGAAAAAAAAAGAGAGATGAAACCCCACTTCTTTTCTTTACACCTAATGTACATGTCATACCTCTGTCACGCAGACTCACATAAATCTGTCAGACAGAAGAAGAAGAACACAGAAAAAAAAAAAAAAAACATATATGAAAAAGTAAAAAAAAAAAAAGGACACACACACACACAAAATGCAAATGGGTTCCATAAAAACTCAAAAAAAGGAAAAAAAAAAAAACCAGAAGAATGTAAACACAATCTACTCATTCACTCACTCATTCATTCATTTATTCATTCACCATTTTCAGGAGCCAATGGATTGGAATTCGCCCCCTCCCCATCAGGAGGTGTGGCTCGTCTTAACAACACAGAACTACGGAATCTATGGAGAATTGGTTGTAGTTTTACTGTGAAACTCGCATCTGCTGTTGCCACCTCCATGGCTGTCAACTGCGTTGCCTCTGCGACCAGACGGTGTAGTGTACCTTTTGGAATTCCCTCATCTAATGCCGCAATCGTCCCTGTAATATCCTGAACTTTAATGGTTTTTGAATCTGGTGAGGCTAAACGGACCTTTTCAACTACTTGCAGAGTAAATTCTTCTACCTCAAGTAGGAATTGTTTCTTTAACATCCAGACAAAGTGACTATCCTTGTTAAAAAGTGTGTCTATGGAAATTCTTCCTGTTTCTTTGCTAAGACGCCAGAGATAAAGTCGTAGTTGCAACATATGTACGTATCTTTTTTCTGGCATAACAATTCTCAAAGCATTTACAATAAAAGCGGTATCAACAGTTCCATTAACGATATGGGAAGATTCACGACATGCCTCTTCTAATTCATTAATATCTTTTTGCCATGTTAAAATCATATCTTCCGGTAGAAATGAACGAAGAGTTAATATCATTCCTCTACAATCAGGATCATCAGGGTTTATTTGACAAATATGAAGAATATTCATACCAACTTCCTCTGCACTCCTATCGGTTCCCGCCTTATCACGTACCCACCCCAAAAAGTAATGCTTTAATAATAACTGACGATTAAACTGACGATCTTTCCAAAAATTACAAAGCATACTTACTACATCTTTTTTTTTAAGGTGAAGGTTACGAACAGGACGACACACTTTAAGGAAACCTAAAGGATCTTCTTCCCAAATGCCTGGTGGTAATAAATAATCCAGTGCATCTAATTCTCTTTCTGTAAGATTTTCCTCTCTTAACCAAGATTGAATTAGTTCGCTAGATGTAGTTAGAGCAATATCTTTTGAAATATTTACATCTTTTTTTTCAGATACTGTAACTTCTTTCGATTGTGTATCCGATTCTGATATAGACTTTTTATTTTCTCCTGATGTCTGTTCTTTAAGACATTCATAATCAAAGAGTAAATCATCTATACGACGCTGAAGAGCAGCAACAGACGGAGCTGTATCATTCTTTTCATGGTTTGGAAGTTCATCTAATTCTGTGGAAATTTGAGTTGTAACTTCTTTTCCAGTTCTTCTCCAACTTGTTGGTCGTGTAGTACCAAACATCATTTGTCGTACTAGAACATTAAAACGTTTATCAGCATCCTCTAGTTTATCCTTCAAAGATGCCACTTGAGCATCTAAACGTCCTATCTCTCTCATATCGGCATTATGAATAGCAATAAAACGAGCATTTCGAGCTGCTTCTTCTATCATGGCATTTGAAATCATTTTTGCTTTTTCTATAGCTTCTTCACATTCCTTTCTTTTAATTTCTAAATTAGCCATAAGTGTGTTATTAGACTGTTCATATGTTGCAACTTGTTCTCGTAAAGAATGTATTAATCCTTGAGTTGCTTGCAGTTGAGCCTGTTGATTACTAATAACAGTTGTAAAACCTTCACGTTGTCTTAAAAGTTCCATCGCATGAAGACTACGATCACTTTCATTTTCAAGTTGGATCGCACGTAGACGTTTTAGTTCTTCAGCAATCTCTTCAAATGTTGCCTCGTACTCGTCTCGAACAAAGGAGAGTATTTCTCTGTACTCAAGAAAATGTTCAATAATAACAGAAAATGCCTCTCTTACTATATGCAATGTATCACTATGAGTACAGTCTCGATGCTCTTGTACATACAATCTATGTTCCCTTCGTACAAAAGCTTCTAGTTGAACTGCAAGTGGAGCTTTGGAGCTACCCAGAATATGTCGTTGTCTCGAAGGCCAAACTGCCAATGGAAAAGATGTACCCTTCTTAAGTGGAGGAAGTGTCTTGTGTGCAACTACTTTATTGGCTGCATTCAGTGGGACTAGCGAGAGAGAAGGCCCACCAACACCACTCGGACGACCTCTTATGCGTCCGCTACCGTCAAATCCTGAAGATTTGGGTGGCATTACTAGTACTTGAAAATGTATTTCCAAAGAGTATATATATATATATATATTTGGTTAAGGGATTAAAAAAAAAAGAAAAAAAAAAAGAGAAATAGGTAAGGGGGATAAAATAAAAAATAAAATAAAATAAATCTCAGTTTCCGTACAAAAAAAATACATAATATATATATATTTTTTTTTATGTGTTTACACGCAGTGTTGTGCCTTTGATGTCGTTATTTTGCGATAGAAAACAAAAAAAAAAAAAAAAAAAAAAAACTCAACATACAGCTGGAGTAAATTTTTTCCGTTTATATATTATGTAATTCTTTGAAATACGACGAGTACCAAATCCCATTTTCTGTGGTGTCCCCTGTCCTTTTCGCCGTTGATTCTTAACAGTAGGTCCACGC